AATGTAGGGCCGTGTGACGAAAAACATCCCGTGAGTTTAATTTTAGTTTGAGTCGAAGCAGTTCAAACACCATGTCAAAATGGCCTTGTTCCGATGCCAAATGTAGTGCTGTTTTCCCTGCTTCAGTCCTGCAGCCGACGTCCGCCATTGAATCAACCAAGAGACGGGCGATGGGGACGTTGCCACAGTGCGCTGCGACATGTAGAGGTGTCCAGTTTATGAACCACCAACAAGAAGGGTCTGTGCCCGCGACATTAATGTCCTCGCTGCCATTGCCTAGTAAACTCTTGACTATCTTTATGTTTCCTCTTCTCACTGCTTCATGTAGCTGCGTCCAAACTTTGCCCGGCATGATTGCGTGTCAGCGAGTTTGTGTCCTTAACACGGATTATTGTACGTTTATAGCCTATGCTGACAAATATGTCAGGCTGACTAACAACTGTATCAAATGCAACGTTTTCTCTATACTTTTATAGTGAGCTATTTGCGTACTGGGCGGAGTCGCATTTTACGGGGGGAATTCCCACATGATCTGACGCACATACCAAGGTGTCATTAGATAATACTAGTATTCGGGCTTTTGTTAAATGAGAAACAAAGTTCACCTAAGGTTACTTTGGTTATATAGCGTAAAAATAGTTCCTATTCGAGCTAAGGCGTGGGCTATTACACGCGGATTTTCCCGCAATATCAGTTCGTGGAAGTTCACACCAAGAAAAAAATCTTGAGGTCGCATGACTTAATGAAAGTATCAGTTTACAGTGACTTCAGCTACAAAAGAATGTGGCGTTTGCTTGTTGAGGATGTAAATGAAGCTGACTTCAAGGCTCAAGTATTGTAAAACAGCGGAGGAGCAGATTGGGGCCTGTAATTTTTCAAATTTGTGCTTTTGTTGATGTGGAGTTGTTCGTCAGCATAGCGTTTGAAAAGCTTATAACCAGCACACTAAACATATCTGACAACCCTCACAGCTTTGTAAAATCTGACTTGATGTAAAGGTACACGAAGAGGTTTTTAATTGATAGCTTGTGCAAAATCTGTAATGAAATATTTTACCCTTTAGAAAAAAAAAAAATAATATATATATATATATATATATATATATATATATATATATATATATATATATATATATATATATATATATATTTTTTTTTTTTTTTTTTTTTTTTTTTTTTT